CCCCGCCCCTTCTCCTGTCTGGGAGAGCTAGAATGTATTTCAATAGTCTGTAGCTGGCAGGAGGACAGAGCAAGATCGAGGGTTAATTAAAAAAAAAAGAAAGAAAGAAAGATAAATAAATACAACTATTTGAATGAACGAAAGGGGTATTTTTCTTCCCCCCCTTCTTTTCGGTTGCATTAAAGGTTTGGCTCACTGCCGCTTGATTAAAAATAGAAATATTTCAAAAAAAGAATTGCAGCACGCGGTAGTTTTCTTTTTTCTTTTTTTCCTCCCCACCGCTGAGAAATAATAAATCTACTGTTGACAGAGGTAAGAAGCCCCTTAACATGCAGCGACTTGGAAATGCAGCCTAAGTGCCAATCCACTGCAACTTTGCAGGTTTTCTGAAGTTAATGGAGATAGGGGAGGAAAAGAAAGTCCGTGAGAAATGTAAGCAGGTCCCCAGAGGGAGGGGGAGGAGTCTGCTCTTCTGGTCCATCCCTGAAATTTGCAAAAGTAACTGTATTAACATGGTGGGAAAACCGGTAGGATGTCAAGTTTTCACTGTTTACTAAGCATTTGACAACCTAACTTTGGAGTGCTCAGTGTTGGCCATAGTCTGGGTTCTTCGCCTGCGTTTCACTGGGCGAAGGAGGCTCAGTGTGCTGCTTCTGCTTAAGGTTGTGAGCATATATATATATATATACTTATTAACAAGCTGGAGATCGCTTCAGCCTGCTACCACTCTTCATCCCATGCTCCATTTGCTGCCATACTAGCCCAATGTCATTTTCCAGAGCTCATCTATTGTGTTTTCTCTTATGTAATAAATGTACAATTTCAGACAGGGCAAATGGGTGATGTTGCCAGCTTCCTGGCGCTCCTTTGCCAAGTCACAGCCTGTCTGCTCAGTTAGGGAAGATAACTAAGTACTGGCATTACTAAGTCACATTTTTGCCCTTACCCGAAGGCAGAGTGTACTTGCTTTTTATACTTTTATACTGGTGTTCAACACAGTGACGAGACAAATATTCTTGTTATCAAAATGTCAGAATGCCAGCTTTAAGTGATAAGAACGAGTCTGTGTTTTCCGTGATGATATACATTTGAACTCCTCAAACTCCCAAAGCCTTTTCTTAGGTCTATGATAGTGGGGTGACTTGAATATCCCGAGAGAAAGATTGAACCTAAATGGTGAACACGCAGTACTACAGAAAATCGTGTGTTAAATGTTGTTGACATTGTGTCATAAATCAGCTGTCCCGTTTCCACACTAGATGAAATCCCTGATAAGAGGCAAGCCGATGGTGATTTATTTGAATAGCTTTACAATTTGCATTTGTCTTCTTTTTAATATTGTAGGTTTCCATTTAATTACGCAGCTGAGAGGCATGAGTGTGGTGCTAGTGCTGCTTCCTACACTGCTGCTTGTCATGCTCACGGGGGCTCAGAGAGCTTGCCCAAAGAACTGCAGATGCGATGGCAAAATTGTATACTGCGAGTCCCATGCTTTCGCAGGTATCCCAGAGAACATTTCTGGCGGGTCACAAGGCTTATCACTAAGGTTCAACAGCATTCAGAAACTCAAATCCAATCAGTTTGCTGGCCTTAACCAGCTCATATGGCTTTATCTTGACCATAATTACATTAGCTCAGTGGATGAAGATGCATTTCAAGGAATCCGTAGACTGAAAGAATTAATTCTAAGCTCCAACAAAATTACCTATCTGCACAATAAAACATTTCACCCAGTTCCCAATCTCCGCAACCTGGACCTCTCGTACAATAAGCTTCAGACATTGCAATCAGAACAATTTAAAGGCCTTCGGAAACTCATCATTTTGCACTTGAGATCTAACTCACTGAAGACGGTGCCCATAAGAGTTTTTCAAGACTGTCGAAATCTAGACTTTCTGGATTTGGGTTACAATCGTCTTCGCAGCTTGTCCAGAAATGCTTTTGCCGGCCTCTTAAAGTTAAAGGAGCTGCACTTGGAGCATAACCAGTTTTCCAAAATCAACTTCGCTCATTTTCCCCGACTCTTCAACCTCCGCTCCATTTACCTACAATGGAACAGGATTCGCTCCATTAGCCAAGGCTTGACGTGGACTTGGAGTTCCTTGCATAACTTGGATTTATCGGGCAATGACATCCAAGGAATCGAGCCCGGCACATTCAAGTGTTTGCCCAATTTGCAAAAATTGAATTTGGATTCCAATAAGCTTACCAACATCTCACAGGAAACTGTCAATGCGTGGATTTCATTAATATCCATCACCTTGTCTGGAAATATGTGGGAATGTAGTCGGAGCATTTGTCCTTTGTATTCCTGGCTTAAGAATTTCAAAGGGACTAAGGAGAGCGCCATGATATGTGCGGGACCTAAGCCTATCCAGGGAGAAAAGGTTAGTGACGCCGTGGAAACCTATAACCTCTGCTCTGAAGTCCACGTGGTCAACACAGAGAGAGCACCCCTGGTCCCCCAAACTCCCCACAGGCCTCTGATTGTCCCTAAACCTACTTTTGCCAAACCTGGCGCCACTCAACCCACCCTTGAACTACCCAGCCCTTCCCCGGGGTTTCAGATTCCTGGCACAGAGCAAGAGTATGAGCATGTTTCGTTTCACAAGATCATTGCAGGGAGTGTGGCTCTCTTCCTGTCCGTGGCCATGATCCTCCTGGTCATCTACGTATCTTGGAAACGCTACCCAGCCAGCATGAAGCAACTTCAGCAGCATGCTCTTATGAAGAGGCGACGGAAAAAGGCCAGAGAGTCGGAAAGACAAATGAATTCCCCTTTACAGGAGTATTATGTGGACTACAAGCCTACAAACTCTGAGACCATGGATATATCGGTTAATGGATCTGGGCCCTGCACATATACCATCTCTGGCTCCAGGGAATGTGAGGTATGAACCATGATCCTCCTAAAAGCGTTTCTACTGCGGGGAAGGAGAGGTAAATGTTTGAAGCTCTAGAGGTGGCTCTAATCACTAGAAAGATTAATGGCCCTTTTGCTTTGGGGTTTTGCTCAGTGTGAAAGGTTATTTAATTAAATTACAACCACCAGGAAATTGACTTTTTTTTTTAATGGTTGAAACTTGAAGGAAGTTCATTCAAGGATGAGATTAAGTTGGAATAAAGCACTATGATACAGCATCTTTTTTTTAAAAAAACAATTTGTATACAGGGGTTGGATGTAAACACCTACATAGACACAAACACAACTTTTTTTTTCATTCTGAAATTTTATCTCTGGTACTTGGTGTTTCATTTCAAAATGAAATAATGAAGGAGAGGCCAGTTTAAGTTAAAAGCAAAGTGAATTCACCAAAATTCGGGGTGATGACAAAGATTTAAACCAAAGAACAATTTACCCAAGGGTTGATTTGTTGTAAATTGTTGTTTTAATTAAAGCATGCAACAGGGAGCTCGCAGGGGTAACTGTTTCCATGTTACTTACCATTTAGAAATCATACCAGCATAGAGAATGTCAGAGACCTACTGTGTAATTGTACCAGGCTTTTAAAAATGCCTTCTCTCACTCCCTCTTTTCCTCTTCCTAGCCTTCCTTCTATCCTTTTCTCCTTTCAACTTGCCTATCGACTTTCCTTCCTTCCTTTCTCTATTTCCTTCTGGGACAAAGACCACTTTTCAAAAAACATTTTTCAAAAGTGCTGGATATTTGTATGTAATCAGAATGAGACTCAAAGTTCATGTTTTGGTTTGTCTCTGGTAATTAAAATCAGGACATGTTGTTGTGGAGGACATAGCAATAACATAATGGCAGGCATAAGAGGCACTATTTGCCAGTGTTGCTGTTATCTCTGGATGAAATGATGTGTACTCTTGTTAAACTTATCTAAAACGACGTGATTCAAATATTTATTAATAAAAAAAGAGAGGTTTGACTTCTGAGTAGTTTCCCTTAATGTAACAAACTCAACTGAGGGTATATCATGTTAAACCATTTCCATTTTTATGAGAATAACTTTGGCTCTGTTTTCTGATCCTTTAATTTTAAAAATTTCTTATAGGAACATGTTAATGAATAGAAAAGGTAGTCAGATCCTGTTACATGTCAATAAGTACTACTGATGTAATTGATTCATTCCTTAAACTTTCCTAAAGTTTACCTTAACGTACAAAGATTGTGACTGCAAAGCAGAGGTGTGTCCACATGTGAAGGGTCTGGCATGGTCCCTGGGTCTCATTGAAAAGGCTAGGTATCCTGAAGTAATTTATATCCACCATCTAGAGCCCAGAGTCATTCCTCAACCTTTATACACACCCAGAAGTGTATCAGAAGTGAGTACAGGTCCAAATCCAGAGAGGAGCAGAATGACATTCCTAGGCACCATCATTTTGAAAGTCACTTGACTGAGGCAGTGGACAAGGTATGAGAAGGCCAAGAGGGGCAGCGGTGTCTCTTCTGATAAATTGGTACTATGAACATCCATTCATTTTGAAATTGAGAATGGGGGTCCAAGCTTAGTGATTTCCCTGGTACTCTTTACCCTCATGCCATCCCTGCTGCCAAAGACCCTGTTGCTAGGATGAGCTAGTTCTGGTAATATCATAGTATCTGGTTTTGGATAATATATTCCTAAAAGACAGGTTCAATGATGAAATGCCCTGTTCACCCTAGCTTTAAAAGTTGCAAAACATCATTTACTTCTGACAATATATACACCAACTAAAAGGCAGATGCTAAGGAAACTGTTTACACAGACATCGCTGAATTTCAGATAATCTCTATCCCAGTAGAATTTGGAATATTGAACTATTCTACACAGAGCATCAATCTCTTTTTTGTAAATGACTGAAAATCAAAAAAGTAATCCCAGATGATAATTCCCTAAAAGAAATTGTATATGCAATTGCCCTTACAAATTAAAGATAATAAAAAAAGTTTTCTATAAAAGTCTAACAAGGCTTCATGTCTTTATTCCAGGTCAAACTTTCGCTATATATATATATATATATATATGAACATTATCAACACAAGTTCATCTTATTCGCAGTTTTTCTTCATTTTGAGACCCTCTGGATGTCTAGTAGCATAAAAGAGAGAGGAACTACTATCATTCAGGGTCTCCTGGCCCCTAGAGCCAAGTAGTGGTTGTTATTTATAACACAAAGAAGGAAAAATAATTCTTAAAGAACAAGGATTGATAACACTGATTCTAACACATTTTCAGAGATTTTGAAGTCCACATATTATTCCTTCAAAAACCATAATCCAACTAACTCACATAATTACTCTGTCAAAACATGTAGCTTTTGATACGATGCTTGTTCAATCAACTAAAAGAGGAAGCCGTGGAATTGAAGAATTGGTAGAAATGGCTGTTGGTTAGGCATTAAACAGAAGATAATTTAAAAATAATGATGTTGAGTCACAAAAGCAGACTCACTGGGGTAGAGCAAACTTTCTGTATTGTAAAATGTGGAACATACTAACATACATAGTTAAGATCATGAATTCCACGTGAGCATATGAGAGGGTGTGATAAAGCCACACTTAATGAATACCCACTTTGTAAATCAAATATAGCAATATAAGCATTTCAGTCACCCCCACCCCGCTGTCCCTTGGCAGACTGCATGCCATATTATAGGTGGATGTTGAAAGTGAAGATAAGCAAATTACTAAACATTGGTCCAGATGCTGTAAGTCACAACTATTTCTGTCACTGAATAAAATTTTACCTGTTGATAAATACTTCCTTGGAAAAATATCTCCCCTGTTGAAGTCAAGTGAGGGGACTTATGTGCTAAAGAATACAATTTTTAGAAATAGTAGAGGCTTGCTGACATTTAGTCTGGGGAGGTTTCCGTAAATCTTTTTTAAAAAAATCACTTTATTGAGGACTGATACAACTCTTATCATAATCCATCCATCCATCCATTGGGTCAAGCACATTTGTACATTTGCTGCCATCATCATTCTTAAAACATTTTCTTTCTACCTGAGCCCTTGGTATCAGTTCCTCATTTTTCCCTTTCCTCCCTGTGCCCCAGCCCCATGAACCCTTGATAATTTATAAATTATTATTACCTTGTCATGTCTTACACTGTCCAACATTTCTATAAATCTTAAATATCAATAGCTTACAAAAAGAGGCTTCTGATTAGATTTATAAAACGAAGGATGTGGTAGTTTTTTATGCTGATTTTTGTTTATTGCCTCAAACCACCAAAATCTGCCCCCCAAAGCCATGCACATTTGGCTTGACAACACAGCACCCAAAGCTAATTTTCTAATACAGTGCCTTGAAGTAAACAATGTTGCAATAATTTTAAAACTTCACTTTTTAACTAATTTATATGACTATGCCATACATACAATTATTATATACATTTTGTCTCTTTATTTAGGAAAGAAAATAGAAATAATAAGTTTCCTTTGAGCCGCCACAGAAATATAGAGTTTTCAGATCAAATAACTTTAGCTCTGTACTCTATAGGCTTAATTTTACAAAAGTCACAGGTATATACCATGGTAACAACTTAAAGGAGCATATAATGCTATTTTAGGCAGTAAAAATAATATCAATAAAAGCAACCGAGTATGTTAATAATTAAAGTAATGAATAGTAAAAATACATATCAATCACCAAACTTGAAGTGGATCCAAATGACGGTCTGAACGGAATCATTTCACCTATCTGTGTGCAAAATGTACTTAGAAAAATCACTTTGAATCAAAGGGAGAAGACCTGAACAGAATATGATGTTAATAAAAATAGAATTGCAAATACTAACATAAAAATAGCACATGAAACTTTGCATAATGTTATCTCATTAAAAATACATGGTTATGACGCTATTTTGTTCTGTATTGAAATCTTTTGCTTAAATATACAGAACAAAATTTTGAATATTCAGTTCTTCTAGGGTGTGTTTAATCAGCTGACATAGCAAGGAGTTTGATAAAATTAGTCGTTGCAAATATAGGACAAGAGGGAATATTTGTCTTTTACATTAAAAAAAAATTAAGGACACAAAAACAATGAGGGTGGCCTTTATAGAATCTCTCTATACAAACTGTTTTGAAGGGTCAATAATTGAAATATAAACTTAAAGTATCCCATAACACTAATTTTACTGCCATTAGTGTAGTGGCAAGGGGTACAGTGATGTGATAGATACTTATTTTCCAAATGTTTGCTATGTTGGATACACACTTGGAACTAGGGTAAAATAAAATAGTTAATGATTGTCAAGTTAAGTTTATATTTATTATTTTACTGCTTTGCAGTAGTTATTTTCAACTCCTTCCTATAGTTTATATTGACAAACACATATTAGGCCACGTTCATTTAAGTGGTTACTAATTTCTGTCTATGATTTAGAAATTTACATTCACAGTACTCTGTATGGCTATCCAGGAGATGCACCCAAAGAATTATAAGCCAATCTGTCCAGTATCATTGATCTTCATTGTCATTATACCGATACAAAATTAAGGCACATACACTCTATTTGGGTGTTTGATTATGAATAATGTGTTATGTTAAAAAGCTATGATTAAAATATATAATCTTCTTCTGGGTATACTTGCTATATACATGTACATATACATACTTATCTATATCAACCAAAACCAAACCTATGGCCATCAATTAAAATCTGACTCATATCAACCTATTTATAGTTTCTTAGGCTTTACATGTTTATGAGCAGATAGTTTCATCTTTGCCCCATGGAGCCCATCTGATGAGTTTGACTCTCTTATCTTATGCTTTGTGATTACCAATTTAACACCTATTCAACAGCATCTTCAAGGTTCCATCTCTCTATCTCTCTCACACACACACATAAACCTATATGTATAAACTCCTGCGTAGGTATTATGGGGTTATGTTCCAATGAATCTTCTGTAAGTCAGCACTGATGTAAATTG